ACATCATTTGTGGCCAACCTATCATAGCCTCTGGAAAAATTTTTGGTCACAATGTGTAAAATTGATGCCCGGAGGGGTCCTGAAAGTTTGGTGGCGATATCTCCAGCCGTTTAGGAGATATCGACCGAAAAGAACAGGGGGGGCGTTTCGGCCCCCCCCCTACGGGGCGCGGGATAGTCACCGTCGTGATGTCAGGAGCCGAGTGAGAGCAGGAACCCTCCCCGGGCGCGCCCCTACACCCCCTCCCCGGGCGCGCCCCTACACCCCCTCCCCGGCCGCCCCTACACCCCCCTCCCCGGCCGCCCCTACACCCCCTCCCCGGCCGCCCTTATACCCCTCCCCGGCCGCCCTTATACCCCCCTCCCCGGCCGCCCTTATACCCTCCCCGGGCGCGCCCCTACACCCCCTCCCCGGGCGCCCTTATACCCCTATACCCCGTCTCGATGTGTTGCGATCGGACCGTCGAACTGGCGGCGTAAAGGGGGCCTTACACAGAATATGCCGCAGTCCGTCCAAAAATACCTTCGGCCGCCACTGCAATAGGTGCTCAGTGCTTCTGTTGAACTTGAGTACATCGTCAACCGACCCCCAGCCTTCGACAGAGCAAACATTCGGCATGTTTAATGGCGAGTCAATAGTTCCCAGTTACACTGCGTCTTCCACTAAACATCACATCAAAGACGTCAAACACACAGAAACAGGCAGTAGGTATTCATGCATCAAAGAAATAACAGCGCCCACTGTGGTGGAGATAACAATGGAAACGCACACACCAAATGACCAAAAGAGTAGTCCGTAGTTGTATACTTTAGGGTGGCACTTAATTTCGACTTTTTTAATTTCGACCGGGACGGGTAGGCATATTGTTCTACCTCACGAAAAAAATGATCTGTATGAAATTTTATCAAGAAATATTTACCAGTATAGCGCCTTTTGGGGCGACTAACGGAGCGAGCGAGGGGGTGAGTCTTGCACGTGCGAAATTGCGAGGGGGTACCTCCAACTGACTTGTGCACGGCACCCTACTGACCGGTTTCTAGCGATGTGCCAAATTTGAGCACAATCGGCCCAGCCGTTCTCGAGATCTGGGAGCGGCACCCTGCACGTGCGCACGTGCAAAATGGGTCCCAACTGACTTTTGCACGGCACCCTACTAACTGGTCCCTAACCGTGTACCAAATTTGAGCGCCATCGGTCCAGCCGTTCTCGAGATCTGGAAACGACCCCTGCACGTGCGCACGTGCAGCAGCACCCCAGCTCTGGCACATGGATATGCAGTGCCTAGTGGGTGCCTACCTACATGCCAACTTTCAGCGCAATCGGCCAAGTAGTTACCGAGATATTGCAACAATTACAAAAGTGACACCTCTTCGTTTTGCACGTGGCACGTGCATAAGGGGTCACCCACATGCATCGGGAATAGTCCAATACTTGGTAGAAGGAATGAAGCTACCCTACAAAAATTACCGCATGTAAATCGGTCAAGTGGTTGCTGAGATATAAGCCTCGCAAAAGCGTCCGCACGGCCGGCCGGCCGGCCGGCCGGCCGGCCGGCCGGCCGCTCATACTCAGAAATTTCCGTTAATCTAAGGAAAGACTCCGCTCGCTTCGCTCGCTCCGTAATAATTAGAGGTAGCTCAATGGGGTCATACTTGGTACATATTGACAAAACGTATATTGTGAACGGGGATTCAGATGTGTGTCGCGCCTTTCCAAGCATTGTCATATTTGAGCCATAACACGTTTAAATGAATGATAGATGCCTTCCTATTTGTTCCATAACCACAGTGTTTCTCGCCGCAAACGCGCTGTGACGCAATGCGTGATTTAACTAATGGCCGTTAAGCGTAGTTAAAGGGACCCTCCCACCTTAACATTAGTTTGGAGTTGAGATAGCCAAGTTTGCGGCCAGGCTCAGAAACCACCATTTATCCTGGTCGCAACCCCCGCAGCTTTATGGTGTTCAAGAAATTTCTTCCCTTAACTTGCAGGGTGGGACCAGCGTGGTCCCTACTCCCTATCTCTTAACCATTACGGGAATCTGATGACGTCATCAGGCTTTCGAACGTCCGTTAAATGTTTGACTAAAACGTTTTGTAGCACGCGGTGGTATATGCTGCTTTGCGCACAACAAATGCCGCACTTTCAAATAAAGTCGCTAGGAACAGCGGAGATCCAAAAAGTAAACAAAAGTAAAAGTCTAATATCTTGAAAACCGGTGAATATTTTTCGATAAAATTTGGTAGATATTCGTTTTTGCTCTTTCTGAACCGAGCGACATCACTTTCATGCCAATTCATTAACTTTTTTGAAGGTGGGAGGGTCCCTTTAAGCTTATTTTGTTCGCTGACGGTAGCCCGCTGCCAGGCGTGCAGCTTCAGCTCTTCTCTCGTATCACGATGGTTGGGAAGGGTCACGAGACTGCTAGCACTTACCGGGGTTACATGAGCAAATATATGCGTATCAGGAATGGTTTTTCTTCGCTGAGTATTGTGATCCGTTTGTAATACGCATTTACTCTGCTCATGTATCCCCGGTCACTGATGCGCAGGGGGACACTGCCAGTGTACGGCCACAGGGCAGGTCTCCGTGTCTTCGTGATGTCAGGGAGAAGACGTGTACGTGCAAAAAGATAAGTTGTGTTTTGCTAAGCCATTTCAGAACATTTTTTCGCTAGTCTGGCTCAAATTGACAGGCCGCAGCGAACGCTGTTCTAGAATCCCTCGATGAGTGAGAGTTGAAGGATTGAGTGAAAGCGCTCAGTTTTGGCACAACTGCATCGAACACCGGTCTCAATGCAGGAGCCTACACGATCATCGAGCAGCGGCTCGAGGAGGACTTGCTCCACCTGACTTGCCACGACATTTACGAGTTTGTTCTATAAAGACATTTTCAGCCTGCCTCGGCCCGTCCAGCGGCCCGGACGTTGTTTTGTTTAAGCGCTTCCATAAAAAGTGGGCGTCTAGAAATTAGAATTAGATGGAACGAAGCCATAAACCTTCAAAACCTGTGACATGTCCCACCTCCACAACCCGCGTGATGCTCTTGCACAGTTCCGTCGTATATTCTTGACCGCCAGCAGTCACCCGACAACCGTGAGATGCTGGAGCTGGCTATCACTGTCCTCGATGGTGCTCCGAAACGAGGTATGAAGATCGCTCGCCCCGATATGCTCCGTGTGTGCTGGTTGACCAATGCCATTTACGCTATGTGAAGCTTTACCTCTTCCGAGCACAATACCGGCTCACTACGTCTAAGAAGAGCCTCCAGCGAATCGTGACCTTTGTGGTAACAACGTAGTTTTCGGCTCGATTCAATGCACCGCTTCTGGCGTCTGCACCAGCGCAAGATCTCGACTTCCTCAAGTCCTCCTGGAGTACGAATTGGACGAATTGGTGTTCGAATTGGTGTCCAAGGCGACAGGCATTGCCTTCAGCCGTCACCTTTGGTATCTAAATGAGAGGCTGGTCGCCCTCACCTTATAATGAAGGAGATTACGATCGCTGCTACTAAACGTGAGATGGCTGCATCTTTACGAGAGAAGGAGAGGGCCGAAGACCCCTCCCCCCCCCCGTCGAGCCCACGTTGAACTTACTATAGCTTCAAGCTCTAGCAAGTCCACCGCAGACTTCGTCATACCACAACTGGCTTCACAAGCTTCTTCAGCATCCTCGGTATGGACACGACTTCCTCTTGAAGTATCCGATTCTTTGGGAGGTCAAGCCATTCTACAACGCCGCCATGCGCTACATGAGGTCTCTTCATGCCTCTACGACTTCGCGGAGCGAGGCATTTTGTTGATGGCCAGGAAATCGATCTGACCCCCCACGAAGGATAAAGACTAACAGCAGCTCCTCTTGTAGGTCGTCGAGGAGCAAAGACGCAAACATTCTGACATACGCAAGGCGATCGTAACTTCTAAGTACGCAAGACTAGCCGACGAATGATGTGTAGAAGTGTTGGCTGATTTCGGATGATACCGCTTTCTCTTTTCATGGAGTTATGCAGTAAGTTATGCATACCTTCAAAAGAATTATGTACCTCATATGTACCTATATATCTGAGCTTTAGGTGCTGAAACGTTTCAATAAAGTCTTGGCAACGTCCAATGTCATTGTGAACATCAGAAATACGCGTGGAAATTAAAATTTCGGCAAAGTTCTGTTTTTCACAAAAATGTGAAATTTGACCTGGTTGAGCTACCTCTAAATAAACATATTTTCCAAAAATATTTTACACGCAACGTTTTCTCGGGTGGTAGAACAGATTGGCTGCCCGTCCCGTTGAAAATTCTCAAAACGAAATTTTAGCCCCGTTTTAGTGCCACCCTAGTATACTTACAATCCTCTTATCAACAAAACTGGTTTTGGCGGTGGCGGCGGTGGCTGTGGGCGTCCTCGGAGCACATAATTACCGGAGCTCAGCAGGCGGAGCTCAGCGGACGGTCACCGGAGCTCAGCGGACGGTTACCGGAGCTCAGCGGACGGTTACCGTCTGTCGATCTGTCAGCGGACGCCGGACGGTCACCGGAGCTCAGCGGACAGTCACCGGAGCTCAGTGGACGGCTACCGAAGCTCAGCGGACGGAGCTCCGGAGCTCAGCGGACGGTTACCGGAGCTCAGCGGACGGCTACCGGAGCTCAGGGGACGGTTACCGGAGCTCAGCGGGGACGGTTACCGGAGCTCAGCGGACGGAGCTCCGGAGGCGGACGGTTACCGGAGCTCGGCGGACGGAGCTCCGGAGCTCAGAGGACGGTCACCGGAGCTCAGCGGACGGTTACCGGAGCTCAGCACCGTAACTCATCAGCAGACGGTAACCGTCTGTCAGCAGTCACCGGAGGCCGGCGAACGGAACCCAACAGACAGAGCCCCTCAGAGAACGGAGCCCCTCAGACGGTGGGAGGCCCTCCCCTGAGGCGCGGCGCGGCGGTCGGAGGAGAGAGGAGCGCGGCGGCGGGAGACCGTCCTCTGAGGGGCGGCGCGGTGGTCGGAGGAGAGAGCATCGCGCGGCGGCGGGAGTTCGGCGGGCCGTCGGAGGCAGCTCAGTCCGGCGCCGGCCGCCGTCCGGTGAGCAGCACCGCCGGCCGCGCCGACCGGTGGACCCAGCCAGGTCTCCGGCTGACCGGATAGGGTGACCTCAGCACCTGACCGGACAGGGTGACCTCAGCACCTGACCTCACCAGCTGACCGGACAGGGTGACCTCAGCACCTGACCGGACAGGGTGACCTCAGCACCTGACCTCACCAGCTGACCGGACAGGGTGACCTCAGCACCTGACCTCACCAGCTGACCGGACAGGGTGACCTCAGCACCTGACCTCACCAGCTGACCGGACAGGGTGACCTCAGCACCTGACCTGACCGGCTGACCTCAGCACCTGACCTGACCGGACAGGGTGACCTCTGCACCTGACCTGACCGGACAGGGTGACCTCAGCAGCTGACCTGACCGGCTGACCTCTGCACCTGACGGAGCCGGCCCGGAAGGACGCGCCAGCTGAGCTGTGTACCTGTGGAAAGGCAGCAAAGGACCGGCGCCCGAGAAGGACTGGTGATGTAGCGCGGCTTGTTTGGGGAGTGTTTGACACCTTCTACTGGACACTGGAGAAGGGGCTAATCTGTCGAAATCAATCACCCGAGATCGAACATGATGGAACTGCTGTGGCCGTGGAAACGGCCAACGTTCAACATCAACTTCTTCAACAACATGAAGACGCACAATGGAAACAAAGGTGGGTGTTAGTCGGCTACCGGTTCGTACAGCCAGCTACCGATCCGTACAGTCAGCTAATCGTCCATGCAGTCAGGTACCAATCCGTACAGTCAGCTACCCGTACCGTCAGCTACCGGTCCGTACAGTCAGCTATCCGTCCGTACTGTCAGCTCAGCTATACGTAGAGTCGGCTACCCGTACTGTCAGCTACCCGTACAGCCAGCTACCAGTCCGTACAGTCAGCTACCCGTACAGTCAGCCACCCGTCACTCAGCTACCGATCCGTATAGTTAGGTACGGGTCCGTGAATTGGACTGGGCAGACCAGCCCTGGACCACCGACTCGCCGCCGTCTGCTCTACCTAGATCCATTTCAGAAACCTGGCTCTGCATTAAAAACCGTTTTTTATATAGGGCTAGGTAGGTCATTGGCCCATGGATAGGTATATTGCACAGTACCTACGCTTTCCAAAACTTTGTTTATTGATGAACGAGGTGAGATGGAATTATTATTTGAGAGCTAAAATAATTACCTATTGTCATGTACCTATTGAACTCGCTTAAAAGATAAAACGTATCGGTATATCTTGTAAAGTGGTGCCATTCGTTTATCGGTTTGCCTGGTGCTAAATAGGTATTACTTAGCACCTAATTAGAGTGGTACCAGAGGGTCACTTAGTGTGACCCCGTGGTATCGACCTGGTCAAACCCTGCAGTGACTGTCGAGGGCTGGTATACCCCTGATAATTTTCTCTCTTAGTGTATTCAGTACCTAATTGTAAGCCTCAACCAAATTCAGTGCATACGTGCATACATGTACTCAAAGTCAAGTCATATTGTCAACTACGACCGAAGTGGGTGCTGTGCTCTGGGCCTGGTGCTCCGTTATGCATCCATTAGTGTTCATTGGCCCGCTATTAATCCCGTGTGCCGCCGCTGGGGCGGACGGCCGGTGTCCTCCGAGTGATGCACGGCCGGGACAGCCGAGTGTCCTCCGAGTGATGCACGGCAGACGCCGAGTGTCCTCCGAGTGATGCACGGCCGGGACGCCGAGTGTCCTCCGAGTGAGGCACCCCCCCCCCCCCCCGGACAGCCGCGGACGGAGAGTCCTCCGACTGGCACGGCGGCACAGCCCACACCAGTCGGATAGGTGCCCGATTGAGACAGCAAGATAGTGTGACAAGTGGCTAACTTGTTGTCTTGGTGTGACGACAGCCAAGTGCACCTATTCATTATGGCTACCTATTATTTGTCTCGGCTGTTGAGGCCCAGTTTTCCAGGGCGGGAGCCGCTGTAGGACTATAGCGGTTTCCCGGCTGTTTCTGTATGTTTCCCGGGTGCGGGTGGCGTCCTAAACACCTCCCCAATGGAATCCACCTTTCACCAGCGCGGCGCCTAACCGACTCCGCGGTGCGCAGCGGTGCAGAGAAAGATCATCGATCATGGCTGTGAACAAAAGACGCGCGAGGATAAAAACACTGAGATTGGTGGTATGGAACCGATCATAATTCACTCTGGCAAGTGGCAAACAAACTGCACATGACGGGTACCTATAAAGGACATGAAATAAACTGTAAACCTCTGGTCTGGCCTCTGGGCACGACCTAAGTCCACTAAAAGGCCATACCAGGGTTAGCATTAGATTCGGTAAAAGCCAGCCGATGGAATGTAAAGCAGGTATACCTAACATTATTGCACATATATAGGTGCCTGAGGCTTTTATTCAGGTAAGAAGGAGGATTGGAAAATGAACTGAATAAAGCAGGCTAGAGTGAAGACTAACAAGCAATCCCAGCCCGAGTAGGCGCGATTCGGTTTGCAGAGGATTGTCAATCGTCGGCTCTAAATTGGTGATGGACACTGCTAGGATGAAATGCTCCAAAAAAAACTACTCAGTCTCAATTTTTAAAACTCATCTGTTTCTGCTTCGCTATGCTTTGCTGTGCAGGAATTTTTTCTTCTTCTTTGAAAGGGTGTAAAGTTTCCGTCTTTGCAAGAAAACGACAAGACTTCGTTGATTGCGAACCCTGCTAGCCTTCGCCCTGGTGGGGGGGGGGCCATTTTGGCCCCCCCCCTGTGGTTTTTCAGCGATAACTCAGAAACCACTTGAGTTAGCGCCCTGAAACTTTGTATAGCTGTTTATTCAACATTTTTACATCATGTCCTTTTTTGGGGGGTTCGGGTCAGGTCAGGTCAGGTCACAAGGTCACCAAAACTGACACCACCTCTAAAAAAGTTCAAAGCTCTCTCAAAGGCACAGCTTTTATCCGATCGATGTAAAATTTACAGTACTTGAAGATGTCACCCAGCTCTACAAAATGGCTATCTCGGATTTTTTATAAATGTGACCTAAGGTCAGGTCAGGTCATCGCTGCTCCCCATTATAAGTCAATGGGAGAATCGAAAAGTAGTTGTTTTTCAGCTAAATCGGGCGTGATTGTTCCTATATTTCGTTATTGAAGTGTCTTGGGTCAGCAAATCACAGCCCATGTGAAACCATTTGCTTGTGACCTCGCTGAGGTCACGCTAGGTCATCTCCCTGGTCACCAGAGGTCACCAGCGGTTTTTCTGCACTTACTTGTTATTGAATAGAGATAAAGACTCCGTTCGACGTTTATCGTGTTTGTCTCGTCAATGCGGATCGAATGATATGCAGCATGACCTATTTCGGTAAGGTCATGACCTTGACCTGAGGTCAAATTTTCAAAATGACCTTTCGAGGTCAAACTATATATCATTCGACGCGTCTCGACGAGCCAAGCACGATGGTGCATGAATCGTTTCTCTATTTTCTCGTGAATGCATGCTATAGTTAAAAACATTTTCAAAGAAATTTGCCAAGTTGACCTTGCATGACCTCTGTAGGCCAAACCGTTGAGCTGAGGTCAAATCTGACGAACCTTGGCGAAAGAGCTTGAAAAGAGCTATCGATTGCTTTTTTCCGCGGCTCTCTAGCTCTTCTAGTTTCCGAGCTACAGCGGAATATGTCCGGCAACACCGAAAACACTGAAATTTGACCTATGATGACCTCTAGCGACCTCAATATTGACCTTAGCGAAAAATGACCGAAATACTTTCGAACGAACTTGTTATGGGCTTTCGTTTGCTTTTTTCCGCGTCTTCCTAGCCCTCTTCGTTTTCGAGTTAGACGGGGGGGGTCATTTTGGCCCCCCCCCCCACCAGGGCGAAGGTGGCTCAGACCCACACCAGGGCGCGGGCTAGAAGCACAAAGTCAACCCCTCACCCTGATCCGGCGATGCTGACTGCTAAGCAGAACAGATCAATTGGGGCAGCGCCCGGGAGGCGCCCGCCGCGCGGCGCGGCGAACCTGCCGGGTAGGCTGTGCCGGAGAGCAGCCCGGTAGTGCGGCACAGTCTACCCTCTCAGTGACGGATGGCCGACAGCCAGCCGCCCGCTGCTGAACTGTCGGCGGCGTTCTCCTCCCCAAAAACCCGTCGGTGCAGTGTCCAATTACCATCGCTCCTCGAAACGTTAATGGAGCTTCAAAAATAGTACCCGTTAGAGTAAAACGAAATCAGTTCATTGTTTTACAAATGGGGAGAAAATTGAAAGCGCCAGATTCTATGGCCTTCGAATATCAAAGCCAACTCGTCTTTGACAAATCCACGAGGACCATTCCATTCGCCGGCAGCCAATTAATGGAGAAATTCTTATCAGGAGACAGCTAAAAGCTGCTGGTGGCGGTTTTCAGCGCCCCTCCATCCGCGGGGCTTCAGCAGCTCCAACTGGGAAATATTGGACTCCTGGAGGGTAGAGCCACCCTGCAGATTAAATCCTATCAAAGCGCGCCTGGCTTTTGGAGAGAGCCCTCGGTGCCGAGTGGGGTTCGGAGCGGAGACTCGGGGGCGTCGTCAGGCTTGTGCGTCAGGTGTTTTGCTAGTCTCGATCCAAATGCCTGCTCACACGTCACAACGGAGATTTGCAGCATCTACATACATACATACACTGAAAACAATTCAACCCGCGGATTGCGAGTTGGCCCGGGTATCGCGGGTATTTTGAAGAAATTACCCGCTCTGCGCGAGTTTTTGCTGCCGGGTAGGCTGACTACCCGTTTAGCTTCCCGCGTTTCGCAGAGCATCCCGTTATCATCGTAGCTTTCACCCGCTTCACGGGTGTCAACGCCCGCTATACTCGGGTAAAACAGCAACCCGTCATGCGCGGATACATGAAACCTCCTCTGGCGGGGTCAATCACTCGTCCGCAGCGGGTTGTGGCCGCAGGCGTTACTCGCGCCCACGGAGTAAGCGCATCACGCAGGTTTTGCATCGTGTAACTCGCTGCGCCAAGGTAGGTGACATGCTATACGCAGGTTGCCTTGATCACGCATGTGTCATGGCAGATATCCCACTGATGCACGGCATTGGTTTTGAAATTAATACTTTTGACTTCGACGCTCAAACGAGTGTTGAAATGTGACGCGCCACAATAGTCGCTTTTCGGCTCGGCTGCGTGCTTGTGCAGGCCTTGTGCAGGGGTAAGAGATGTGCAAGGCAATTGTAATCGTAACTGTAACAGCTGTGGGCATGGGTGTCGATTTGTATACCTTTGGGGGTGCTGCAGCACCCCCAATGCTCAAATGAGCACCCCCAATGGTTTTCCGGGCACCCCCAATGGTTTTGTCCCTCAATAACTCCCACTAACTCTGATTGAGGAAAATAATTGTTCTGCAGTAGTTCACTACTAAAAATAAAACAATTACGCAATTTACAAGGCATGAAATAAAGATGTAAAGAAAAGAAAAGTTAGATTTAAGAAGAAGGGCGAAAAAAAGACGTTAAGTTGCAAAGATGGTGTGGGTCCGTCGTACACGGGTGTCGGACCCTTAGAGCTGCTGGCGCGTACCCTTTACAAGCCGGCAGGGGGCTCCAGTGACCGGCGACGGGCCCTCAGAGGCCGGCAAAGGGTCATCAGAGGCCGGTGGTACCTTCAGAAACCCTGTGGGGTCATCTTTAGAGACCGGAACGGGCTCAGGCGCTGATGGGGCCCTCAGAGTCGC